TATTTCAATAATTTTATTGGTTTAACGGTGATAATGTCAGTGGTAGTGATATAGTGTTGGCAGCGAATTTAGTTGATAATTCCCAGTGATGTTGCCGTCATGTTCAGTGAAGTTACGCAGAAGATGGCACCAGCAGGTTCGTCCGAACCTTTGGTATCCACCTTCGACCACACACGTCTTATCTAATCTGAATTATAAGTTACGTACAGGGCTGAGTATTTATAAAGCTCCATAAGGGAGGTCGTAATTCGAAGATTCCTGCACTTACTACAGCGGTGTACGGATTGTCGTCAAAGAATAAGTTTGTTTGCATTTTTCAGTTTTTCGACTTCTAAAACAAGAATTCCAGCGTGTTTAAAGTATTTTGGAATACGAACATGAAGTAGACTATCGGCTCCTATATTTGAAGATCTGTATGTACTTTTATTAGCGTTAGGAAATAATATCAAATAACTCATAATCTTCCGATGGGTTCTGCATAAATTATGTAGTGATATTTTCATTACAGGTACTTTTAAAAGTAACTTGCGTGCATTTATTTCCCGATTTCCAAAATTATTTTATCGTCCTGTTTCGCGGGGTCTTGTCTCTGTGACCGTGTACAGGTGAGGATTTTCCAATTTAGTTATCGGTTTTTGTTCAGTTAATCCAATAGGTTAATTGTCGTTTCGACATGTAGTGAATGTGTGGTGAATTTTGCATAGAATGATGATGAGGTCATGTCAAGGGTCCATGAAACCACATCAAAGTTAATAGGTCCATACCAATTTTTTTTTCCAAGCCTGCCATATGTTTGATTGTGTTCCTGTGTAAAGAGACTGGGATAATATGGCCTGAAATTGTTTTATCGCTCAGTTAAAGCGTAATGCACCACATATGTCGATGTCCACAAGGGAGTTTCTTCTACAGACGCACTCGACTTCCTTAGCCAGAATTTGTAAATTGCACACAATGACTTCATTGGCATCGAACAGAAATTGGTTGAGATTAAACGGAAATGATGTTTCTGTCGACCTGCCAATATTCTTATCTTATCAACAAAGAAGAACTTGTAGTATGCTTTCATGTCGTGTGGATGTATTGTTGTTTATTTAATAAAGCTGAATGCTGTGCCAACAACATCTGTTATTTAACGTCGAATGTTATGAGGTTCGTTTGTATTCGGTTGACCTAAAAGGGACAGGGAAGGAAATGGTCGTGACCTGTTGCAAAGTAGTTGCTATCTTTCCGAATATGGCAGTCTTCTGATGATGGAGACAGGAAGCTTATCTGAAACGTCGGGAAACTTCTCCCAGACTACACGGCGCAACAACCCGGAAGACAGAAATCTTCATACTCACAGCCGTGAAAGCCTTGAAATCCCAAACATAATTATCTGTATACGGTATAAGTTAGCTTTTCCTGTAATGTTGCTTACCCGTTGTGCATCAAGTCCTGATGGTTTTACTAGACGCAACGCTGTCCCGACTTGTATAATACAAAGTTTCGTGCTCTGTGGATGCAAGGGGAAAGTTTTTGTTTGCTGTACATATGATGTGAATATCCATTACAGTTTCAAGCTAGCTGAAATGCCGTGCGCATGATTTCACATCGCGTTTGGAGCTTATCTGTTCATTAAAGGCTTGTCTCGTTCGTTGGGTACAGAAGGGTCTGGCACAGTAGCAGAGGATGGGCCGGCGTCAAATGTGGTCACGGCAGGAACAAAGCCGGAAGACGACGGCGAATTCGAGCCTTATATTCGGTTATCTCCCAGTGACCTCAGCTTGACGGCTTCTGCCTAATTACATGGATGACACTGTAATAATAGAGTACGAAGCACGAATCATAAAAAATAAATGTTGAAATTATGGGGCCGGAAGTAAGGGGAAATCACAAAATATGACATTTGAACACTGTATGAGGTTTTTTCACCGTTCAGAAATTCAACCTATCGTTCTACGGTACATGAACAGCTTCGTTAAATAACCCAGGGATCAGTAATCAGTACTTGTTCAAGTGCGTTCCTTTTTTTTTTCCATTCTTCCTGTGATTGAAATACAAATGAGGAGGATGCTTGTGTGTCACCCCCTCGACCCTCCCTTCTCCCGCCCCCTCAACAAAAACATCCGTTTGTCCATCGATTCCTCTTTTCCAATCGATTTCGAGGACCTCGAGTTTGAAATTGTTCAGTTTGTCTCTGTTGTTTCTAATCTTCTCTCTGACGTGGGAATGTGGCAGCTGGCATTGATTTCTTCGCACGTAGCCAAAAAGTTGACACTTGAACCCACACTTTACTTGTCGAAAGTTACCAAGTACTGTTGAACCTGCGAGCCTTTGCCTGGTTTGGCTACTGCATTTCATTCGTTACTCCCTGAAACCAGCGAGGAGAGAAAAAGAGGTAATTTCTCTGGCGAAAACCTTTCGCAGTGCCCCCATTAAGCACATAAATCCAAATGGTGGATGTAGAAACCCGAGGAAGTGAGGTATTAGTTTCCTTGTCCCCTTTTCATGCCCGTAACTTTCATACACGATGCCAACTCTGGTTACGTAGTCTAACGGTCTAGCCAGCACAGACGTAAAACAGTCTTTAGAACTCAATTAAATAAAATTAAAGCCTAAGACTAAATTCCATTCCAGTTTATTCGTAAGATATGTAATCAGATTAACATGACCATTTGCTAGTACGGTGCCTCTGGCAGGTAAAGTGCCATTGCATTCCAATTAGGACACCAGCTACCCGGATTGGTTTCCCCATCCAAGAACCTAAATGAGGCATTAAAGGAAATGGTCGTGACCTGTTGCAAAGTAGTTGCTATCTTTCCGAATATGGCAGTCTTCTGATGATGGAGACAGGAAGCTTATCTGAAACGTCGGGAAACTTCTCCCAGACTACACGGCGCAACAACCCGGAAGACAGAAATCTTCATACTCACAGCCGTGAAAGCCTTGAAATCCCAAACATAATTATCTGTATACGGTATAAGTTAGCTTTTCCTGTAATGTTGCTTACCCGTTGTGCATCAAGTCCTGATGGTTTTACTAGACGCAACGCTGTCCCGACTTGTATAATACAAAGTTTCGTGCTCTGTGGATGCAAGGGGAAAGTTTTTGTTTGCTGTACATATGATGTGAATATCCATTACAGTTTCAAGCTAGCTGAAATGCCGTGCGCATGATTTCACATCGCGTTTGGAGCTTATCTGTTCATTAAAGGCTTGTCTCGTTCGTTGGGTACAGAAGGGTCTGGCACAGTAGCAAAGGATGGGCCGGCGTCAAATGTAGTGACGGCAGGAACAAAGCCGGAAGACGACGGCGAATTCGAGCCTTCTATTCGGTTATCTCTCAGTGACCGCGGCTTGACGGCTTCTGCCTAATTACATGGATGACACTGTAATAATGGAGTACGAAGCACGAATCATAAAAAAGAAATGTTGAAATTATGGGGCAGGAAGTAAGGGGGAATCACTAAATATGACATTTGAACACTGTTTATTTTTTTATTTAGTGTTCTGTCTGACGACAGGGCCATATGAACAGGATCCTTCCATCCTTTTCTCGGACTGGGACCTGTTCATATACGTTCTTGGCAGATGATCCAGAAGTGGTTTGCCATTGCCTTCTTCTGTGTGTGAATGGAGTAATTATTGGGATGCCACGGAGGAAAACTCCGTGTTGCCTAGACCACGGCCTCGCCCAACACAAGTTATAAATCCGGGCACCGCCGGGAAACGAAGTGGGTACCCGGGGTTAAAGCGCCAGGAGCTATGCAACTCCTGGTGACAAGTTTGTTTTGTTTACACCGTCTGAGAAGCGTCGAAGGAAAAACTAAAATGCGATGAGTCAGGAAGAGTGAAATGGTCATGAAGGCTTCGGAAGTTACATACGAATTTAATTACTGTTGGAATTCTTACAAATTGTCCGAAGTGGCATAGCATGTTATACCTACGCCAAAGCCCAAACCTGTAGGATCACCCATTTTCGGCTCTCCACGTCTCCTTAGTCACATGTTTAATTTTAAACATGTTCTTCAAAAACGTTTGTTGATTACTCAAATTCGACGTTGCGTCGTTGGTCGAATATTTCACAATACCCCTATTTCCAGTGTCCCTCTATCTCCGCGAATTCAACCCTAAACGTGGAGACAGTGTGTTTTGCGAAATGTTGGTGTCTACCTGTGAGTCTACACTGCATCGCAACATGGAACAACGTCGTCGTCCTCACCGTCTCGAGAACCTCAGATTCCTCACACAGTTTCCGTACTCGTTGTTTCTAATTTACAATCGTCTGCACTCCCCCTTACAATAAATTACAGTGTTTGGTTGGTTTCTAGATTGAGGAAGTTCCTCCTTTTTGTGGCCTTGCTTTTACTTAAATGACGATCTGCACGTAATCATAACGTGGGGACAGCCCACTACAGGGTTCTGTAAGCAGCAGGGAACTGAATTGCTAGTTGTGAGAGATGGCGGGTCGTGAGGTCTCCCCCGACAGAGTCAACTCCGTAACATCCTTCTGCTTCGTGCGGTCAACTTCGACCACCCGCCAACTGCTTCCTCGTTTCATCTGGGATGCAATTTACGTTGATGGGAGTTCAGAGTTGGAATTAGGACACCCGCAGGCGGACCAGTCTACCACATCTTAACTTCCGCTGATCTTTGCAGATGACGGCATCATGAAGGTTCCAGTGCGTGCGTAATGACGGTCGACTCCTTTCAGTTGCTAATCCGAATTATCTGTGACATCGCAGTGCGCCTTTGCGTGATTCCCAAAGTCCTGGTTTCCAAGAAAATTTCCATTTCATCTTACAGATTTCGTGTCGCTTCAGAGTCGTCGGGTCTTTCGTGGTTCAATTTTCAGGTTCTGACGGCAGCGATTATGAAGACGACTGTCTTTTGTGATGTTTCGTGGTGTAATGTGATATAAATTGACTGAAATCTAATTACCCTGATGATGGATTCAGTAAACACCTGTGAAATATCGTTCGGTTCCTTACAGTACACGACGAAACTTCCCAGAAGACAGCCGTCTTTATCGTATCTTTCAGTCACAAGTCCATGTGATTGAAATGCCACTCTACTCCTCACAGGCAAATGCGATGAGCAGTCTCTGGTGAGCTTGTAGAATATTGTTTGGATCTATAACTTTTAATTACATGTTCCTGAACTCGTGGATGTCTGTGAATTACGTCTTCAGCGGGCGCTTTCCAGTCATCGCCTGTGATTTGTTCGTTCCTAGTCCGTGCCAGTTTCGCGCTGTCCATTCCCGCTGGTGCAAAATGATCAGATGGTTGAGATTTCCCCAGAGATGACTCGAGTTTGTTCTTTGTGCCGGAGCGCAGGGCAGACGAAAGGAAGTAGTGTCAATGTGGCAGAAGGAGTTACGATCTGAGAAGGTGGTTATGACGTCAAGACATGCCGTCCTGCGTGGTAGTGGGGCCTATCCAATATTTTTTTCTGAAACCTCGGTGATCACCTCAGTTAAGAATACAGCTCAAATCGTTTATTCTTCATAACATCATGAAACAAGTCCCAGTTTTTTGTAATCAGAGTACGCCAACTCGAGAGTGGCTAAAGGAAAAGTTCGCATGTGTATCAGCTCGCGGGATTGAGTTGATGAGGAATTCCCGCGATGCCTTGCTTAATATGGTTACAAGGTCACCATGCCCATCTGGGGATTCCTTAGCCACCCTAGAAGTCTGACGTCATTGGCAGCATTATGAAGGGTCAGAGGTGAAATTCTTGCGATCTCGCTAGAGTTTTACGTTCTGCGTACGTTTCCATACTTTTTATTTCGAGTTTTGTTGTCCCAATGCGTGCATTTTAGCCGTCTGAGCCCTTCGTGTACGTATCCGAAGATGTGATGTTTCCGTTCCGCTCTCTTTACAATGCAATGCGGCGATCAATATGTACTGACTGCCCTTTTATGTGCAGTATTCACATAGCGTAGTACTCGATCTGAGATTTGTGATTTTTCAGAAATCCACTATAGAACCATTATCACATACCTTTCACATTGTACCTCCTTTCATTCAACACTAAGTAACGTCCGTAAGTTATATGAAGAATTTTCGTTTTTTCTCACGTGTGTTCCTTGTTTATAACCACGTGCCAATTCTTTGCGAATAAGTGCCGATAATCGCGTGTTGTTGTCAGACAGCCTTGTTTTCCGGTTCGAGCGAAATGTTGATTTGAACGGTGTATTAGAACGTCGGTGAATTATATCTCAGTCCTCTCTTTCAATATTCTGGCTTGATCCAAAACCAGAACCTGTGTTTGACATCCCGACAGTTTATGTTAACAAAATGAGGATTAAGGAATTTTATATGAAGCTTAAAGTGTCATGAGATATTATTGTCTGAGACACCGGCCATCTTTTAATCTACGCGGCCCAACAGTCCAGTACACATTAATCTCAAATTGTGCACAGAGTCCGATTTTCGTTCAGTGCCATGCGTATAACCAAATGTAGCTGCTTATATGTACATGGGCTCGGACGGCGTACGTTTTTTTAATTAATCCCCTTTCATAATTATCTGTGGAGACATTTTGCAATAAACGAGCCGGCCCATACAGACGATGTGTACCATTATGTCGTACTCTACTGTCATTAATAAGGGAACGTCCATTAGCGACTGTGAAAGCATTCGGTCCAGTGTAACCCCGTGATGAGAATTTTATACTCAGCAGGATTAATTTTATACTAATTCTCGTTGGATCCTGCCATTTTCCCTTCGGAAGTTACATACGAATTTAATTACTGTTGGAATTCTTACAAATTGTCCGAAGTGGCATAGCATGTTATACCTACGCCAAAGCCCAGACCTGTAGGATCACACCCATAATGTCGTCCTTATTATTTTCTGAAGGATGAAAACACCATTACTTTGCCAGATAATAGGGATGTTAATTCCTCCTTATGAATTTCGCTTCGTCGCTGTGTGGTGTAATTGCTTAAAACGTACGTCGTAACGAACTGCGACAGCCCTCTGCATTTATGTCGAATATAATGTCTCGGAGGTGAGTAACTAACTCTCACAGATCCTTCAAAAGCACAGACTTCTAAGCTTTTCCTAACAGTTTTACATAGTGATAAGAATTATATGTTTCTGTTTCACCCATCACGGCTACAAATCCAGACAAGTCCGTTCAGTGTCCTGCACTGCTGGGTTAGCTGTAAGTTTGAAGGTACCTGGTTTCTCCTTGTGTGCCTTTAATATCCCCCATCTCCCAATAACTATTATAGAATGCACATCCAACTTCGTCCTATATAACTCTTAAGAAGCAGGAACTATGATTTCAGAGAGATTCAGGCTTATCGCAGCTATGACGTGTCTGTGGGTCATTGATTGATGATTTGTCTCCCGTGGATGTACAGAGGTTACTAATTCCAGCAACGGATTGTTTATACAACATGTGTTCTGCAATAGAAGGCACCAATTCTAACAGTTGCTGTGGCAAACATTATGAAATTTTTGCTCTCTGTAGTCAGTTTGTGACATGTCTACTTTTTAAAGACGACTGTCTCGTGTAGTTTTGTAGAAAATTACCGACGTTTCAGAGGTGCGTAAGGCCTATATCCCCCAATGCCATTAGTGAAGGCAGTAAGCATCTTCGAAACGTCGATAAATTTATAGGAGACTGCACGGCGTGCCATCCAAGAATACAGTTATATTCATAGTTGCCTCGGAACCTGAAATATCAGTTAAACATTGAATTACCCAACTTTTCCAATTACCGAAAAGAAAAATAGACGATGGAAAATATCCAAGAATTTTTTAATTCAAATGTCTAAATCTATTTTTATATTATGGACTGCGTGCTGTCTAATGTATTTGCTAGAATTTGTTAGAAATTTTATTTTAAATCTGTAATATGTCTGATATCCTACTCGCATAATAATATTTAACCCTTTGAAGCTTGTTTAAAGAATATTTAACATCCAGGCCTAATCACAGGAAAGAACACTGCGTCTCTATTATGAATATCAGTTGTTTTCGTACTATTTAGGAAAAGAGTTGGTGTGTACTCTTGACAGTTATACGAAACTCAAAAATGTGCTGTATTCTCTGGGGGTAAATGTTGAAGTGACAGTGTCGTTCTGGGTTTTGACGCCGTGGATTCAGAGATGCATGTTTCTCCTGATCGTCATTATGTACCAACGAGTCTGCACGACGTCAAAAGTCCATAATATCTTCGTCATCCTCACCCATGCCCATCTGGGGATTCCTTAGCCACCCTAGAAGTCTGACGTCATTGGCAGCATTTTGAAGGGTCAGAGGTGAAATTCTTGCGATCTCGCTAGAGTTTTACGTTCTGCGTACGTTTCCATACTTTTTATTTCGAGTTTTGTTGTCCCAATGCGTGCATTTTAGCCGTCTGAGCCCTTCGTGTACGTATCCGAAGATGTGATGTTTCCGTTCCGCTCTCTTTACAATGCAATGCGGCGATCAATATGTACTGACTGCCCTTTTATGTGCAG